GTCGCAAAGGAAGCAAGCGACTAATACCACAAAATGACACTGAAGATGGCACAACACCGAAACCGGTTTGTCTCCAAACAAAATTTGACAAGGAATGACGGAAAATCGTTCCACATTGCATCACTTTTGATCTCTTTATATGGAATGAACTGATACTAATTGTTCCCCTTTACACCCCCGCACGGGTACAAAAAGCGACTAGTCACTTTAAAATAATCAAAATAAAAATTTGCGCCAGCCGCTAAGCGAATACTTTCTCAATGTGCCCACGCCGCACGTGAAATTTCATAGTGTGTACATATCATTAAATCGTTAATATTTAGTACCCGTAACGGATGAGTCGAGGCTAACTGATCTCCATTAGTACTCGTATGAGACTAGTTGCGACTAATTAATGCCCAAATGTACCCGATTGAGAGCAATCTCGGAATACTCCCTTTTGATTAGTCGCACAATTTTTTGTAGGGTACATACATACATACATACATAAACATGTATGTATGCCTATGTGGCATGTTCGCCTAGATGCATATACTAGTTATAGTAGGTACTATTTCTATGCAGCCACTTCTACACCTCAAACCACTCATCTCTTGCTCCCTGTTCACCGCTTGTCGAATCTTTCGTCCATACTAAACAATTATGTATATGCAAAGTGTGTGTAAAATTAATCTATTGTATTTCAAATTGTGTATTGCACATAATACGTTTATTGTTGCAGTGCGGTTTCAATGTTATTTGGAATTGAATCGTGTACTAGACACACTGACTGTCTTGGCTGCTGCTGCTGCTGCTTCTGCTGTCTCGCGCGTTATCTTCGCCTTTCGTTTGGCATTCAAATTGCTGATTGTTTACAACAAAGCATATTTGTTGCTTTCTGCTTTTGAATGGAGCATGAGAATGGTTAGAGGAAAAGTACCTGGATTTGGCCCCAATTATGGTGTCATGACATATCTAATTATTCGATTGTCAATTTCATGCAGCGACCATTATTTGGTGGCAGAAGTATTTTTTTTATGTATCCATAGGGTTCTTCGAAACGGCTCTAACGATTTTGATAAAATTTTGTGCCCTGGTTGCCACCTATTCGAAATTTGTTACAAATTAATTAAAACATCATAATATGGTCATCAAATGGAAGGTATTTTAAAGATCCCTAATTCAAAAATATTTTTTCATATGGTTGCCACCTATTTTGAATCGCATGTTTATTTAATTTTTTGTTTAGAAAAAAAAGGTAAAATATTACTATTCATCAGTATCAAGAGAAGGTTCTTAAACAATGCTTTCCCTATATACAAAATGGTATCCCTTAGGATAGTAGTGTAAGGTTGCCACTTATTTTCAATTCTACAGAATTTATCTAAAAACTTGCAATATGGATATCAAATGAAAGGTATTGTTGAGGACTTTGGCCAGATAATATCTTCGATCAGGGTTGCCACGCTTCTATGTAATACAAATTTTTATTTTGTTAATTTCAATCAGCATTTTTTTTTGTGTATACACAGTACATATACGCTTAAGACATGTTCTATTCATACCAGCGTATTTCGGAGTAGGGTTGCCAACTAAATTTTTGAGTAAGAAATTTACTTGACAGATATCGAAATCCAAATTTTTTTTTATTTCAAAAATATTTGTTTAAAGCTATCCAAATGACCAGTTATTGATATTCAAACCCTGAAAACTTGTAAAAGTATATGCACTCCGGGCAAAGTTCGATCAACCTGGTAATAAAGAATGGAAATGATGCCCAGCCATGTGCGTTTCTCTGTCTGAGAAGGAATTTCGTCGCCATTCTGGCTGACCTCTCCAACGCACTATGGGTAATTTGAAGATTATTAAAAAAACATGGCATATAATTTGCCACATTTTTACAAACGAAAAATCTTAACTCTTGACGACCGATGGGTCTGAAGGGGTGGTTTTATTGATTAGCGTGGATCCAGTTTTTTCTAAATATTTGTGCTAAGGAAAAAAATACCAATCAGTTATAAAAACTATACAGTGACTAATTTTGAAAAATATTGCTAAATTATATTAATTTCAGTTAAAAACCTTAAAGATCTGAGTTTCCTGATTTCCTTATTTGTCTTCAGAGAAGTAAAAAACGGCACTGTCACTGCAAACCGCGATTTGATGTCCACTCTACCTTTCACTAAATACCTCGTTGGAAAGATCGATTGAAAGGCCATTGTCAATATACCTAAAACAGGAAAATATCCTAAGCTACACTTTAAATGCTATCGATCTCCAGTTCCATTTTCAGTCTTGGAGAGCTCGATACTGAAGTTTTTTACTGAGTTCTACAATTTTGAACTAAAAAATTACACACATAT